GAGAGTGTAACTTGTGCCCTGGGAACCTGTCTGTGCTGTCAGCTCTGATCACAACTCTGAGATTGCTGGCTGTCTCTGATGGGATGACTTTCAACAAAGACCCAGACAGCTTTGCTCAGTTGTGACTGAAAAGGTGGTTTCTGGTTGGTTGGTTTGTTTGTTTTTTTTTTTCTTCTAGCTGCTTTATAGTTCATGTCTTTGTCACCTTGAGACTGGCCTATGATAATATTCTAGCTCAGGTGGCTTTTATGTTTATTAAGAATTATCATTTTTACAGTTGGATATTGTCAGTGTCAGCTAATTCATTTTGCCAAGTGTCTTAGTCAGGTGAAATCACCTGTTTAAATCTCTAACAGCCATACATGGCTTGGAACTTGCCTGCCTGTCATCTCTGCCCAGCTAGTCCTGCCCTTCTGCTTCATGCTTGAAACCAGTGTAAATCCCAATTTCCCATTCTCTCAAGAAGCATTGGAAACATTCCTTGATGTCAAAGAGGGAGAACAGCTGTTAAGCAAGCATAGGAGGCATTTCTAGAGATGAGCTTCCCTGTTCAGAATATACCTTCTTTGTGCTGGAGCAAACTGGAGTAGATTGCACATTGCTAGTGGCACACTCGGTATTGGGTAGAGTTCCTTTTGTTGTAGACATGCTTGTGTTTGCATGGTTGACTGTGTTCAACCTGATAAATGAGTAGGATTTTGTTTTCCATCTGTAATGTAAAGAAAGATTGAAATGGTAATCTTTGTAGATCTCACTTTTCCCAAGGCCTTCCTTAATTTACTGCCTCTGATTTTAAAAAAACAAACTTGAAGATGCTAGGAGCAAGAGGGAAGAGTGTCTTGGCTGGGACGTTTATTGTTTCATTAAAAGAAAAAAGGGGTGGTGGGAGCATTATAATCTCGGGTAAGTGATGGCTTAATATGAAATATTCTATCCTAGAAACAATGTGGAAAATTCAGGATATTCATTACTTAAGTGTATTTTTTTTTTCTCATGGATGTGGCTTGGAGTTTTGAGGTGAACAAGCTGATTAAATCTATCTTCTGCTTTTCCTAAAACACATTTTATTTAGGGTTTTGTAGAAGGAGAGCAGTTGTGTGATGCAGAAGTCTAACCATGCAGCTCTGTTATAGGTCATTCATTTGTGATAAACACTTCATGTCGCCACTGTTTTCTTCACTTCCCATATTGGTCCTCTTCAATTCACACAGATTTTTGTACAGAAGATAGTAATTTACTGACGCTGCAGTTGTGTACCTTCTTCCCTCTCTTCCCTCTGCGCCACATCCCCCCCTGCTTTTTTTTTCCCCCTTCCCTCTTCCCAGTACTTTCTCTGGCTTCCTTTTATCTTCTGGTTTTCATCCTCTCTACGAGGACTGTGGCAATATTGCAAACCCTGACATTTATCTGTTATCCTAGTTATTTTGATACATGCAACTGCATCCTTTCTCACATGTGCTTCATGTCTTATGCCTGTCATTTCATGTTGCACACAAGTCCACTCAGCTGTAACTGCTTAACAAAAATATATGTGCTAATACAAAGCTAGGAAGAAAGTGCTTACATTGCTGGAGTTATTTGCTAGAAAGCCTTCAAACAAGTTGCAGTAGATAGTGTGTGTTACTGCAGAATTTGCTGAAGTAACTAAGCCTTTACAAAATTTTAAGGACTGATGAACTTGCCAAATTTTGTATGGCACATGACTCGTAGTGCATAATAGCAGGCATCTCGGCAACGAAAGGAGAGGGATAATGAGGCAGAAATGTAGATTCTTTGCTCTAATTATCTTTACATCCTTATCTAGTGTTTCAATGCTCTCTCCTTCCCTTCCTTAATCAAGCTTTTGAATTGTGTACGTTAGTTCTGTTGTTTCATGTCTTTCTAGCAAGAAACATTCTGATAACAATTTTTTTTTTTTTTTGCTAATGATTTGTTAGCAACATTAGACATCTGTTAAAAATACTAAGAGGCCAGAGGCCAAACACATTATTTTCTTTGAAAACTGCAACGAACATTTGCCAGTATATGTAAAAACTTCTCAGTCAACCTTCTATCATTTTTAGAGCAACCTTCAATCATTTTAGAGTATTTGATTTACTATTACAATTCAGGGTTATATTCCTTTGCAGAATAATATATGGAGGGCAGGCTTGCAGAGCTCAAAGTTAGGAAAACAATCTTTTTAGTGGTAAACTGAGCAAATTTATTTTTAAAGACAAACAGAATTGCTGATGCAATCTTACTGTTCCTTTCAGATGAGTCTTGTGTTACATGAAATCCTAAGGCATTGAAGTTGGATAGAGTTGGGCTAAATTTGTTCTGTTTATTTTATTTTTGCGATTAGGGGGCAAATAATGTTTGAGTCTTGGATATCTGTATGTTGCGTTTTTCTATGGGACAGCTGAAAAAGAGTAAGAAGTGCTTGAAGTATAAGTACTTAGCTGAGAAGGCTCCATAGTGGGTAACATTTAAACTGAGCTGTTTAATTCCTGAAAGATACAGTTTAGGTTTGATTAATGGATTCATAAATTCATGCAAAATAAAAGCAGTATCTTTGACCATAGGAAAATAACAAAACTCCTGAAACATGGTATGATTTACTTAATATCTATCTATCTATCTACATACATATATTGATATTTGAATTTTTTACTAGTAAAACATAAAAAAAAAAGGCATTGGTTAGAATCCAGATCTTTTTATTTTTTTTTTAATTTGTGTTCAAAACAAAAAGGAATTTCAGATTGATTGAGAGTGAAATTAAAGAAAAAAACCAGACACCCTTGCATTAAGTCAGTCAGCAAAATGAAAATCTGTTGCTTTAATACATGTATGTCAGTGTGATATTGCCAGGGAGGGATGGGAGTGTTGAGTAGACAAGTGTTATGGGGCCCAAACAAAGTTTTTCCAGTTTATTTGAAATAGCTAAATACTGTATTGTAATCTTTCTGTTTGTTGTTTTTTTTTTTTTTTTTTTTTTTTTGTGTGTGTGTGATTATTAACCATTTATGATGTTTTTGCAAGTGTCCATGGTATTTCTTAGGCAGAAAGTACATCATTTTAATTACATGTTAATGTTTAACAAATATTACAGAGAATTTACTTTCTGATAGCGAATTTACAGTTTATCCTTTCTATCTTACCACATACTTGGAATATTTTATGTAATTGGATGTATAAAATTTGTTTCTTACTATTTATGAACACCCCCACCAAAGACACACAGTTGTTAACTGCAATCTGTTCATAGAGTTTCTCCAGAATATGCACAATTGTCTAGAAGTGACAGTAATTTCAAAACAAGTGCTATGGCTAAATGTAGGCTATTACATTCTATCTCCAAATACTGTAAGAAGTATTTACTTGGTGTTTGAAGTCCTCCTTTGTTTGTTGAAGAGTCACTTGTGAAGGGAATGACTTATGTGACTCCTCAAAACTTGACTAAATCTGCACACCAAAATAAACCTGCAGTCATTATTAATGGCATCACACAAAGATTCTCTAGCTTTTGGACCAAATTTAGGACAAATATTTGAAAGGGTAAACAATATTAATTACTTTCCTAACTTGGGTCTTTTGCATACAAAGTAGCCCATTAAAAAAGCCTTGGTAATGGTGTAGTTGAAAATTAGAAGATACAGTAACTGAGGATTCCTGTTCAAGCTTAATTCAGTCCATGTGTTCACATTTCATGATCACATCCTTCTTTTTTATTTTATAGAACTGTGTCTCTTTTAATGTATAGATTGGATGGTAATCACAGCTGATCAGTATTTTGTTCTCTTACTGTTCAGGGTGTGATTCTAGATCTGACTTACTGCATGCTGTTCAAACCCTCCTCTGAAATTACATGCTTCTGTGTATATTTTTCTGTTTTGCTCATCACTGTGGTAAATAAAGGACTTTAAGGTCACTAATTTGTCTTCTTTCCCTCTGTATGAGGAAGGACATGTTTTAATCCTTGTTTTACCAATGGGAAGTTGAGATACAGTTGCACAGGCAACTTTTAATTCTTCAATGCTCTGTTTTACAACTGTGTGAATTAGTTTTATGTTAGGAAAAGAGGGCAAATGAGAAGTGTAATTTCCTAGGTTTTAAAAAAGGTGTCAACCTATCTCAAATTCCTTTGTCTCTTTCTGTCTTTTCCCTTTTCTTCCGTTTTCCTTTCCTGTGTATGAGAGGTGTATCAGTATCTTAGTGGAGACCTTTGTTTTAGGTTGGGAAGTAGGAAAGCTTGATTTTACAAAAGTCTTAAGATTTAATTTGAGGTTCCTCTCTTTTAAATAGAATTTTTAGAGATTTTACTGAATACCGACTTAATAAATAAGAAGTCAGCTCAATACAAGAACAAAACAATAATTTGAAAATAATTTCTGCCTTTCTCTAATATTATGCGCAAAATAGAAATAATTAAAAATAAACATACATCATTCCAAAACCTGAATTGGAGCTAAATGGAACACAAACCTCAAGATATCTGAGCTTGTTCTATTATATAAGCCATGAATTTTGTCAGGGATTATATTTGGCAAAAATAAATTCTTATAATACTTATTTTAAGTCCATTCCAAAGTATGTGTATTGTATTTTGTTTGGTTGGTTGGTTGGTTGTTTTTTTTGTAGTAACTGTAAGACTGCTTAGGGGAGTGTTGAGAACTGTCTTAAAATGTTTTTTTATCTTAACCAGGCATAACTACCTTTATTCAGTTCTAGTAGGAGTTTTCCAAGAGTGCTGATGCTAGGTAAATGTAGACTGCATAATTAAACCTATGAAAAAGTCAAATTTTGCATTCAAGCTCGTATTACAAAAGCCTGTTCTGAAACATATATGACATTTTTAAAAGGCTGTAGAAATATTTAACTTCTGTACCTGCTGAAAAATTCAGGGGTTTCTGATTAAATTTAGGAATAGCAGAAGAGTACACAAAATTCTAAAAAGAATTGTTTGACCCATCTTGAAACATGCAATTTTTTTAATGTTTTCTGTGTTCGATAAACAGGTGCACACAAAGTTCCACTGCAGGCAAGCCCATGCTCCAGGAACCGACACTTCATGCTTGACATTCTCCTATGACGGTACTGTCCTTGCCAGCCGGGGAGGTAGGTGATTGAAAGAACCCTTTGAATGTAAGACAATTTTAACTTTACTAAGTGAAATGTAAATCGTGTTATTGTTAAATGTAATTATGATGGAGGCAAGACAGTGAAATTAGATACTAGGGATTTAAACCTGAAGTGTTTCACAATTTACATCTTTTAATTTGATACACTTTGCAATACTGTGTTTCTGAAAGTGCATTTTGCAGCAGTTAAGGAATATTTTAAGAGAGCTTTGCTGTTTGAATTACACAGTTCCTGATCTGTCTTCTTGTCTAGCATTAATAATACACCAAAAGGAAATTTTTAGATTAATTAAAAATAATAGGAGACCAGGTTTGTTGCTGAGTTTTTTTCCAGGAAGATTACTGCCTCTCAATAACAGTATCTCTGTTCTGGAGTTACTAATTTTTCGATCAGATTTCTTATGCAATGTCCTTTTCTGTTCTAAGTGGAATTTCTGTCTTATTTATATTACAAACATCAAGACTGGAAGTGAGTGTCCAAGATGCACCTGAATGGCAAAAACATTTGCAATATCTACAGGACAAACCCACTTAAACTGTAGATAAAACCTTCATAAAAAGTCTTAGATAACAGAACAAGTCATGAGAAGGCAAAGATATACTTGAAGACTTCAGTATTTGGTGTAGTGGATAGGATGGTGTCTGCCTAAGACAGCTTTTCTTACAGAGATTTGTCTACCCAGTATTTTGCAGGCAGGTGCAAACATACGATCTGAGCTGTCTGGATGGAAACCAGCTGTAACCAGAAGCTATGTGTATGCATTAGCATGGCCCCAAGGCCAAATAAACAGGCCTAGGGAGAGGCAGTATATGTTAATGTCGGCTAACATTGTGCCTAGCATATGTACAGGTCATCTGGTTGGTTTGGTACATAGACAGAATGAGATTACATATGCGAAATACTAGAACAGAAGTATTCGTAGATGGCAAAGGCTGTGAAGCAGGGGATGTGCTTCTAAGTCAAAAGCTGTAGCTTGCAATTGCTTTGCATCCTCCCTGCCCTCTCTCCCTGGTGAGTAGAGTGGCATTGGTGGCTTTCACAGAGATATGCAGCTGCTGTTGGATGCTACCTCTCTGACTGCTTTGTATGTCTTGCCGTGTTTCTAAGATTCCAAACTTTATGTTCCCCAGATCCCATATTTCAGAATAAGATGATGGTAGTCTTGTGCTTGAGAGCCCTAGGTTTACTAGGACATGTGAACGGCACTTGAATTGTTTCTTAATTGCTGTTCAGGCTCCTGGGTCCAGATTTCTACTGCCACTTCTGCCATTATGAATGAGTCCTCTGTGGTTGAGGTAAAAACTCTCAAACTTGCTGGTCTTTACTGAACTAGACATTTACTATGAGAGAACTTTCTTCTCCTTGGAAAGTAGGCGAACCATCTGTCTTTCTGTCCTGGGCTAAGTGAAGTGCTGTATCTGTCTGCCAGTGGTGTTGCCCCCGAGAAATTCACACAGATACACTTTGTAAGATTTAAAGAGAAACCTCAGTGTGCTTTTAAATATTAACAGCAAACAAGGTTGATACTTGTGTGAAGGAATATTCACTAGTGCTGTCTCCACTCCATTTATGTAAATTCTCTTTATGTCTCACATTTATGGCTGTAGATCACATCAATGACCTTTGCTTACTTTTATTGCATGTGGTGCTTTTGGTTGCCTGCTATTCCTCATCTGTCTCCAGATTTTGTGTCATGTTAAACAGACTTTCACTTAGGTTTTATCTTCCTCACTCTGCTCTAAGCTATTTAAAATGTTGATTGATTGTTTGCAGAATGTAAGACTATGGAAATTTGGCTTCTCTGTGGGTAGAAGTGCTACCTTTGTCTAGTGTATGACAAAAAAAGAAAGCAAGCTCTGTGTGCGCTATGCTAGAGAATAAGAGGGTTTCATACCTTATTTTGACTTGTTTGGTTAGGGTTTTAATATGAGTATTACTTTGGATCTGTACCAACAAAAGCAGATGTGGATCCAGCGTTCATAGACTAACACACCTGGCAAGTGCTGAGGATCAAAGAGAGAGGATAGTTGTTTGGGGCATGGGGACTTTCACTGAAAGCCTGATTGACTCCCTTGCATCTGATGTAGATTCTTTGTTGGCTAGGAGAGACGTGAGGCAGGGCTCAGCTGCAAACACAAGGGAAAATGAAAAGCTAAGGAGCTGCTTATGAGAGTTCCCAGTTTTACTCTTGTTGGGTATTAGGTAGTAACTTGACAGAAACTTAAGAAAGTGATATTTTTGCACACTTGTAACCATGAAAGTAATTTTTTCTAAATGCAGTGAAGATAAGTATTTGGGGAACATTTTCTTTGTTTAGCAGTGAAAAGATAAGCATTAGGACTGAATTTGGGGTCCTATTATAAAAATCTTAAAAAACTTCTTTGACTCCTGGTATTTAAAGAATTTATGGAGTTAGTTTTTGTCATAATATGAAACAATGACTTAATTAATTCCATGAATCTCATGATAGCTATTAGTTTGATGGTTCATTTATTTTCTGTGGTAGGAACAGTGTGCAGTCTCAGTGCCATCTTAAGCAGTAAACTTACCTAGGAAAAAAAGTTCACCATAGTTAAACCCAAGAAAAAATATTCACATCTAAGCCTATCAGATATCTTATACAGATACAGGCTTCTTGTGAGCTCAAAAATTGGTTTTTGTGTTGCCTTTTGTTTTCTTTTTTTTTTGTTTGTTTTTTTTTTTTTTTTTTAGTTTGAGCTGTATTTCTCTTTTCACAGTTTTCTTGAGCAAAAATAAAATGTTTAATTTTGAAGTCTGTTTAGAAAGTAGAACCACCTTGAGTACAGTTTCCTGTATACTCAAGAATTATGCACCAGCATGTATAGTGATCATCTATTTTGTTTAGAGTAATAATGCATTGCACTTTATAGTAAATACAAACATTAGCATTGTAAAAATCAAATGGTTTTATATCAAGCAATATTTCTCAGGAGCTGAATGCTGATTTTCATTTCAAATAATGCCAAAAAAGCATTCATTAGCTTTAATAGGCATAGTTGACTGTTTGTAACACTTGGTGCTGAAATGGCTTTCTCAAAGTCTTCCAGCATCCATCACTTCCATATATTTGGAGAAGGTGATGCACTTAAATATTTGGGCAGGCTAGTATGGTTGCAGGTGATGGTGAGAGCTGTTCCAAGTGTAAGTGCATAATCCCCAATTTGTGACTTTCTTCCCAAGGCCTTTGGCTCAGAATGAATGTGGTCCAGACCTGTGGTGCCTCTGAAGGTCATTCTTTAGCTATTGAAGCTCCTCTTGCAGAACCAGTGTAGAATGCAGAAGCGTATACATTGTTCTGTAAGGTGCCTCTCCTCACATAGAAAGGCTCAGAGTTTATAAATACATTCTGGTGTTCCTTCACAGTAAGCCTTGTCATGCTATGCCTTCCCTATGCTGTATTTTATTTTCTAAATTCCTATTTCCGAAGTTTCTTTGCTTTCCTCAGTGATCTTTTTGAATTTCTGTCCTTGAGCTTTGTTTTCAACACAGGACTCCGTCTTTAAAAATAGGAGCTTCTTGAAGAGTGTTGCTGATTTAGGGCTTTTTGAGCTTCTGGCAGCACTTTGCTTCTTTTGGGCCCATTTGCATCCATGTATTTGTCCTCCTAGTCAGTATCTTCTGAAAATAAAAAAATATCAGATAAAATCATTGTAGTATTAGTACGTTGGCCTTATTTTGAATAAAAGCCATTTGCAAAGTGAGTATCCTGGCTCACGAAAGACTTTTTCTAGGACCTAATTGTTACCTCTTGATAAATCCAGTGCTTAGTACCACTGGCATAATGGTGTCTGACCTGATCGTATCAGACTAGACTCTGTTTGTTGGTATCCTTCTCATTAAAATAGCAATGAATAGAGTTTGAAATGCTACTAAAAATGCTATAAAAGCTTTAAATAATCCTGTCAGGCTTTGGATAAGTCTGCCATTAAGAAAAATACTGAGTTATCTGAGTGGACTATTTTGAATGCTTCCTACTGAACTGCACAACTTCTGTTTATATATTTTTGTTTAATGGTAACATATTTGTCCATGTATGAAGTAATTAAAAATAGATCAGTACTGCTACAGCTCTTCTAAAGAAGTCCCTTATGCATTGATGGAAGGATGCTACTGGAAAAAATCCCTGGTGTTGTGGAAAGTTAATATGTCTGTTTTGTCAGTGACAGTCATTTCAACTCCAAATGCAGATTAGATTCAAGAACCAATATCGTATTTGCAACACAGAAAATTTTATTAGAAAAAATGAATTTGGGCAAATCCTGAAAGATGGTGGGAATTCCATGGCATTGACCAAAACATTCTACTAGCATTTCTCCCTTTCCAAATACTTAATCATCTATTTCTACACAGTGTAAAACAGTGTTGATTTGGAATCAACCATGACTTTTTTGAGTCATTCTAGAGTCTTGCAATGTTTTAAACCAGCAGATTATATTTTCTCGTTAGCAGAAGAGCTATAGCTAAATGTCTGACTGCATCTCTCCTGCTAAAGCCTGGCAAGACTACAGCTTGAAGATCATATCAAGGCTTATTCCACTGGGAACAGAACAGCCTTTGCTGTGCTAGCCTTAGATCTGTCCCTGTCCAGGAGATTTTCAGAGTGGCCAAGTGGTATCCTTTGCATATATTTGTAAAGTGCTGGTGCTTTAGATATACCATCTTACTGATAAGTGTTTTTTTGTTGGGAGTGGGAGGGAAAAGGGGAGCTTTATTTTACAAGACCAAATGCTTTGAAGTGCTTGAGATGGAGTCTACTGGGAAACAATAAGAAAACAGTTCCAAAATAGGGACTCATCATTTTTCTTTCTTGTCATTTTTTAGCTTCCCAATGAACAGAAATATACTCTGCTTTAGACATCATTTATTTAAGTTGTCCACTTCTTAAAAATATTTTACAGTTAAGAGTTATCCCAGTCTTAAATATAAACATACATGATGTACGAGGCCACACATTACTGCTTTCCCTGTAAAGGGTACTGCTGGCCTTGATTTCTTTTGTTACAGCATGTTGCTCTTTTTTTGACATTTTATTTCCAAGGCCTCCTTTAAGCTCTTGATCTCAAAGGCTGTGAATCCACAAAATACTTTTAGACAACAAAATTACTTCACTGCAAGATTTGTGCTTTGGAAGGAAGCAGGTCTGTGGATTATGAGTCACTTTCCTTCTTTTCCTCCTAGGCTAGGAATATTTTGTAACTTTTTGTCTAAAATTAATCTCTGGATATTTTTTAAGAGAATTGTTGTTTGAAAGTCTTTCTTTTCATCCTTGAAAGTGCCAAGTCACTCATGTCATATCCAAGAAGATGTCTAAGTGCCCAAGTGAGGTGCTTCAAAGCTCAAATCCTGTCGTTCATCTCATATTGGGAATATGTATCCCAGAGGGATGATCAACAGAGATAGCTAACTAGTCGCTTCCCCACCCCCCATTCTCACTTTGATAGTATGTCATAACTTTTCAAAAAGGAATAAACAGCCTGACTTTTACTGGCCTACAGTCGCACCGTGTTTATCAAACACAGACAAGAATTGCTATAAATGTCTTGCTGTAACCTTGATTTTGGCTTTTATGGCCAGAGGTGGTATGGAGGGGTATGAAAAGGTTTCATTATAGCAAGTGTGGTTTCACTTGCTTTGCTTCTCCTCCTTCCCCAATGATTTCTGGCTGATTTCAGAGCCTGTTCTTGGTACTGAGATTGCAGTTTGTTGCTGTTTTCAGGGCAGGTAGAAACCAGGCACATAACACCTGTTTAATTTTTGATCTAGACCATCCATGGTAACATTTTGATTTCTTTTGATACCTTAAAAGTTAAATTTACTTCTGGTAGCAGAGCACCGGTTCTCACAAATACAGAATAAATTAGTATTTGGGGATTCTGATTTCACTATGGATAATGGTTCTTGATAGGCGGGATTGCCATGAGGGAGCCACTGAGGAGAAGTTTCTGATCTAATAGAGTGCAGCAGGTGGAACTTCTTATCCTTGCACTTTTATAGTCATTTAGGGACAAAAATCTTACAAACCATCCTGATTTTGAATGTTTGTACTGTTCTGTTCTTTTTGTGTCTGAATTAGAGGATGAAACTTTTTGCATGTGTCTGAATTGTTGACTTAAATTCTTTATTGCTAATGTTCATCCCTTCTGTTTCATAGGCGATGATACTTTAAAGATATGGGATATTAGACAATTTAAAAAGCCTCTTAATTCAGCAGAAAGACTGCCCAGCTTCTTTCCAATGTAAGTACTCAAATTTATTCCAGCTAGCAGAAATAGCAGTAGTTATGCTGAACAGGAGGGAGTCTACCAGAGTTCTCCTCCTCAGTTCTCACTAGGTCCAAAACTGTGCAGAAAGCACTGCACAGGGTAGACCATGCAATGACAGTTCTTGGCTATTTTAGGACTTTACGTTGCTTTAAAAGATCTTGTATTTTTTGTGATAATTCATAGCTAGTTTTGCTTGTTTTATGCCATATTTCAGTCTCAAATGTCTTATGTCTAATTAGATTAGCAGCTTTCCAGGAGGAGGCCAGTTCATTGCCTTATGTTTTTGTAATGAGATACATAAGTAATCCTCATTCGTATTTGGTCTCTATGATTAATGAAAAAAGAGATGGATTGAGAAGTAGACATAACATGAAGGTGCATGATATGAATTCAGGTTATGATGTTAGAAGTGCTGATGACCGTGTTCACTGGTACTAAAATACTACATTATACTGCATAGTGTTAAGTATTGTATTTAATATTTTTACAGGTATTACCTGCATTTCTCTAGCATAGCCAAATCCAACTTTAATGGCAGTTTATACTTTTGAAATAAAATCTTAGAAAGGCAGGTCATGGACAGCTCAATCTTAGCTGCAATTTGTAGCATAGAGGAAGAATAAGCAGACAAACATTTTTGGCCACTATATAAACACGCTGCCGTGCATCATTGAAGAATGTATCATCAACAAAAGCAGAATTCATGACTGATATATATTTTTTTTTTTAACTTAATGATGATAACCAGATTTGAAAATACTTGGTTTTGTTTGTTTCTCATGTTGAAAAGTTTACAAGACTTTTGAGTGGAGGAGAATTTTGTTGGGAGAAGGATTTTTATTGGATCTGCCAGTTTTGCACATTCTGTGCACAGCTGTGCACAGTGAACTGTATGATGAATAGTAATAGATGACAGTTGACAAAAGATTTTTTTTTTAAGGCCTTGTCATGAAAGGATTAACAAATAGAAAGGATTATTTTTAAGGAGCTCAATATATATGTAACTTTCCTATATATTAATTATTGATTTGCTCAGTATGATGATTTATTTTCTTCAACAGGACAGATTGTTGTTTCAGCCCAGATGATAAAATAATTGTCACAGGCACCTCTGTTAAGAAAGGTGGTGGCAGTGGGAAACTTTTTTTCTTTTATCGGGACACATTCCAGAAATTGTATGAAATAGAAGTTACAGATGCGGTATGTATTTCATTTTTATTCTCACAACTAATCAAAATACAAATTAATTCATATTCATATACTTTTTTCCCTTTATACAGGTAATGACCTACTAACACTACTGTAATTTCTCTCCTCCATATTTAACAGATAGAGGTAGAGTGGCCTGAATAGGTGCTATTCTCCTTTCAATTTAAAAAAACCCATACAGACAAAAAACAACAAAAAAGCCCCAAAACAACAATAACAACAACAAACAAACAAACAAACAAACAAAAAACCCCCACCAAAGTAAAATCTTGGGACAATGTGTTTAAGCACTTGGAGATCCATTCTTTGTTGCTACCATTGCATTGCTGAAGGATGTCTGTGAACCATTCTAGATCTGTGAACCGAGGCACAAGTCCTGAAATTCTTATATGCTTTTGCTGTTTACTCCACCAATTATCACGATGAGATGACATATTGTGACAAAAGTCCTGTTTGTCCTTGCAGCTTGTGGTTACTATAGAATGTATTTCAATGGTCTCTACCTTGTGTAACTGCAACAATTTTGTGGCACAGGGAAGGCATGATTAGGAAACCCTTCATCAAAAATTCCATTCTCACTTGCAATACAAAAACCCAAAGTTGTGAATCTATAATACAGAGAGTCTGTGTGTGGCTTGAGCTTCCTACCTGTTACCATGTACAGAAGGAAAAAGTTTAGTATCAGAGTTGAAAAAAGATATTTTCAGACTTGTGGTGTAGATGAGTAAGCTTATAGATTGTAATAAACAGGAGTGGGAGGAATTCAAACAGAATTGCCATTGCTTAAGTATAGCAACGTATGCTTAAGTCCCATTAGTTGCAGTCTGTCAGCAACTTTTTGCTTCATTTCAGGATACTTTTTTTTTCCTTCTGCATTCTTGTTAACCCAGCACAACAGTCTTTCCTAGCACAGAAGGCTAAAACTCCTTGTGCTGGAGATCATTTATACAGAATTTCTACTTGTATTTATTTTTCTTTTCAAATCTTATTTTCTATTCTAATTCATCCTAAGGCAAAATTCACTTATGGATGAATTTGTTGTATCCATCATTTCTGTGGCAGCAGTCTTGCAAATTAAAAAAATGCAGAATTCATGTCAAAGGAGAAAGCATGTGTTTTTTCTAAAAGGAAAAAAAGTCCTGTTTTTGTTTTAAACATACATTCTAAATACAGTTTTTATATGACATTGGCAGCTTTATTTAGCACTAAAGAATTTCTCCAAAGATAGCATCAATTGGATTTTAAATTTTTCTCCTGTGGAACATACCAAACCTTAACTTAACTCATGAAGATTTCCAGTGGATTTTTTTTTCTGATGCGAGTATTATAACCAAGTATTTATAACCTTTTTCTGAGACAAAACATGAATGTCCCAGTATGCCTTCTGAAACTTCATGACAGAGGAAAGGAAACTACTACATACTATAAAAGTGCAAGAGGTAGATTGTTGTAGGAGCTCTTCTGTCCTTGGGCACAGGAAATAAAAGAGCTTAGCAATTCCATTCACAGTGAGAGCTAAGTGTCTGGAGGTGGTCATGATGGCATCTCCATTTAGTGGTAGTGAAGTCAGTCACACTGTACAGAAACTTCACCTGAGCTTTAAGACTGCAAGAATGAGAATCTTGTCAATGGTGGATCCTGTATCTCTGAAATAAATTAAACTGTGCAGGAATTAGTGCTCACCAGCCTACTTGTTTTGCATTCAAAGCAAATATAATTTTAATTTACTAACTTTGTCTCCCAGAAAAACAGTTATTTAATTCTCTGAAATAGAGGGTCTGCGTACCTGCTGAGGTAGCATGCTACAGGAGAGTCCAGAAGAGATCATTTTGCTCTCAGTTTCTCTTCAGAATTGAGAGATAAATTTCTGTTCTTCTGTTTCAAAATGTAAGAGGTGTGGAGATGCAAACATGGAGCTGAGATTCAATGATAGGAAATTGTTGGAAAAACAAAATTAGGGGTCAATAAGTGACTTCACTGGGGCCACTCATGTAGTAAAATTTTAAGTATGTGTACAAATCTCAGCAGGTTGATAATTTTATACCATAAATACATACAGGTGCTGATACTTATATGGTACCTTTTAAGACTACAGTAAATCACTTTTGTCCATAAACTTTTAGTGGTGCTGTTTTTCTTCATTTATAGTTACAAAATTTAAGACTGTCATTCTCCTGCTTTGAATATAATGGATCAAATGAAAATAATGGTAATAATAGGTGAAGAATTGAGACTTACAAATGCTGATCTTATGACATAATATTCAGTGAGTCAGCCCTAATAATACCTCTGCAATCAGTCCGTCTAGCTTCCAGCTTCAATAATATACATCTAAGAAAAACACAGTTAAGCATATCAACCTGAATCTAAAAGAAAAATTACTATAAGTGGTATTATAAAATAAAAGCAGTATATTTTTTTCAAGATATTTCTACTGTTTGCATCTTTTGCCTTTTTCATTAGTGTTCTTTTCTTGCTCTTCTCAAATTGCCATGTTTTATGAAATATAAACGCATAAAGGTATGCTAAAAACAAATTAATTTTCAAGAAGCTGGCTTTTGTATTTTATAAGCAGTATGTGCTGTTTGTTGGAAAGGTCATTGGCCTGTAAATTGGTAGGTGAATATCTTGTGTGTAGTTCATCAAAGCATTTTTTCAGCAGTGCGGTAATTACTTGCTTTCTAAGGACTACTTTCCTAGTTTCCATTTTTTTCCTTATCCTCTCTCAAAAATGCAGATAGCAGTAAGTGTAATTAAAGATAAACATATGATGTTGTCTACATCTCCAGTTTTCCTTCTGTAACTGAATATCACACTTCTTTACCTTTTTTAATGTTATCTAGTGCTTAAATATATAACTTCAATGTTTCTATTTTGTTTTGTTTTTTGTTTTTTTTTTTTAGGCATTGCATAGATGAAGTTACACTGTATCAGTATGTGCAGTAAAAACACAAATATACCAGTATCTATCTCTGCTAAGAGCTTGATCTGCTCTCATTCCTCATGAAAATAATTTCATTGATTTCAGTTGGATTTAGTCCAAAATTGCTAAAGAAAAAGGGCATCATTAGTCATTTATTTCAAGTATAAAATGAAAGTAATAAGACTTTCTGAGGGCAGTTGCATACCAGTTTAGTGGTAGAACGTATATAATCAGAATAACAGAAAATGTACTGTGAAGAGAAAACAAACTGTTAATGTGTTACTTTTTTAATTTCACAAGGATTTTTTAAAGGAAATGCCGGTAAGCTTAGAAAATTGAAAAACACTTAAAGAGCAGTAAACATTATCTTAAACCTCCTTGGTAAATAGCCAGTGCAATTGGCCTGTGAATGAACCTAGGGGATAATGGGAAAATATTTAATGGGAATGTTTGAACAAAGCTGTGTCTGGCATTCCTTTCCATCACACCACACAAACCTTTTTTCACCTTTTCTTTCAAGTTTTCATGGGAAAACCCATTACTGCTTCAGGGCTGCTGGAGTGAAACCTTGTGGTTTTACTAATGGACTAACAGTCTGATTAGTCTCTTCTGTTGTGGGTGGGTATAGAATATTAATTTGCTTTTCATTTCATGGAATGCTATTCGACCGTGTAGCCATCAGGCCTTCTATATCTTGGATAAACAGCAACACTTTTTGAAGAAATCTAAATAAATATCAGAAGTGGTACAGACCAGAGGCTCCATCTCTTGCCAGTAGCAGTGTGTCAGTGGGAGGAGGCGTGAACAGGGCAAACACGCAGTGGTGCTTCTCTGACTATCCTGTTCTGCCTCTGGTGATCTGTGACTTAGAGATATCTTGATGCAGACCTAGGAATTTTACAATTAACAGCACTCAGTATTTCTTTCTTCCATGAGTTTATCAAGGAGTGAAATTACCCATGTTGCAGGTTACTGGCAAGGTCATGTACTTACTACAGATTAGATCAAAACTCAGGGGTGGGAACCCCTGCCTCTCTCACTCTAAGGAAGCTGACGCTCTGCATGCAGCACTTCAGCCTTACTCTGGCTCAGTCTGTACCGGTGTGACTGGAAATTATGAGGGCTTTGTACTGTGACCATAGTTCTGGATGCTAAACCATACAGAATTCCTCTCTATAACAAGAAGCAAACTTAAAAAAATCCTGTTATGTATATGCTGCTTTTTCATAGTTCTTCTGTTTCTTCTATCTTGACAGTATTATCTGTGAACAGTTCTTTTGCTCTCACCTCAAATATCCACAAGAAAATATTTATATTAAACTTCCTCAATTTGAGCATTTGAGGCTTATTTTATGTGAAAGAACTATAATTGCATGCAGAATGTTTCTTCACTCCATTTAGATGGATGAGGAGACTTAAACAGATGTTAGGAAATATAACTGCCAGAAGAGACAAACAAAGTATATGCACAGAAACGAAGAGGCCATTTCCCATTCCTTTCCTCAGGTAGTATGAGAGGAAGACAGACTTGTAGATCCTTTAAGATGAGGTCTCATCTTTTGAGATGTCTGTAACTGCACTCTCTTTCTGGAGTGGAAGGGAGATTTCATTGTCAGATGCAAGTCAGGGAGAGTTTATTCCTACTTCTTGGTTTGGTTGTGCGAGTATGAGATCTTCATGGGAACCAGTTATAAATACCTACTGTATGGGAAACAGGGTTGAGTACACATTTCCCCCAATGTCAGTTTAATTTAAAATAGCTGTGGATAGCCACTTGAATCACTCTCATGTCTATCATTCATTTGGTTAGTTCAAACAGATCACCCAGTAGTTATCCTTATTACAGAAGAGATTGATTTTGGCAGCGGTGGAGCAGTCATTTTCCCCATATGGAAAAGAGTAGTATGCCCCATTACTGCCAAGCAAGAGTGGGCACCAAGAAAAAGAAAGAAAAAGTTGTATAATTACAGAAATAGCTATTTAAAATTAAAATGTAAGTAATAATTTAATTTTAAAATAAGCCAAGCTGATGAGATTGTATACCTTATAAAATGAGATGGGCAAGTTT